GAGGACTCCATTAAATCTTTGAACACTTACAGTAAAGAGTTTGGAATGCTTCCAGTCCAATTCTTTGTGTTCTCACAAGTGAGAGATTATACTTCTGAACTTCTATGGCAAAAGAAAGAGAGAGTGATTGTATTAATCCATCTAAATCCAGAGCTTGCTAATTAAGATGAAAACTATAACAATCTGTGCTTAAGTGAAACAGAGTATTTTTATAACCCAGCTCAGGGCATCACTAGCCAAGCCAAAAGTAGAAGATTTAAGTTTTCAAATTATTGAAGATCAATAAAATAACAAATCACTTACTACTACATAATCAACTATCTGTACTAAATACGGACTCTTTTGTAGTGCTCAGTCTACTTTGTTTTTTATATTTCTAAGACATTCCTCATGGTATTTAAAATACACAGTGGAACATGCTGCTTCTGACTCTACCTTCTAATTGAAGATCTGCAAGGACCTTCAAATGCAGCAAGTCGCTAGTGGCAGGCCACATGCAATCAAAATGCCAGTCTCACACAAATGGGTATTTGTAGCTATAAGATTTTAAGGAGGACCTTTCAAATGAGGAGTTTGCAAGTGAGACAAGCATTGGAAACTAATGTACTACTTAGTGCAGGTTTCAGAGGGAATCAAGGCAAAATTATCAACATTAGAGATTTGTCAGTTGAGGGTGTAGTCAAGCATTCATCACCGGTACACGTACCTAAGCAAAGCAGCAAGGATTGGAGATCTTGTTCCAGACTCCTCTAAACATATTAATTACTGGTATAAATCCGTTGTCTCTCATGGCACACTGCCAAGAGGTAATTGAGCTTTAAATGTAAATTCATGTGAGACATCTGAAAAGACAGATGATTTGGCCCAGTATGTTAGCAGAAACACAATGCCTGGGAGGACCACGGGGTTAAGAAACTCCTGGGTTTGGCCATAAACTCCAAAGTAACACATAAGTCAAATCAGAGATGAAAATGAGAGAAAACAAAATCTTCCTGTCAGTAGGATCTCCTTTCCTATAGGACCACACGGCAGTCCCTTTAATGTCAACACATGCCTTTTTGCTTGCTTTCTATGAAGTCATTGAGGGTCTGGCCTTGAGTGAATAAATAGATCAGACAAAGTTAATAAATGCAAGCTCTTTCCAGACCAACAGGGGTGGCAGACAGCACAGCTGTCAGTAAGAAACAAAATTTACTTTGAAATTTTATATTCAAAACAAAAAGCACACCGGTCTCATAGAAAAAGTTCCCTGAGCCCTTGGAAATCACAACAATTATCCTTTGATTGTCTTGTTTCACTACCTTCTAGTCTACCATCTAGGAAACGTTTTTTACCAAACATGAAGAAAGGTTTTTCACCTAGCCCAACAAGGCTGCCATGCTCTCTTCAAAGAATAAAGGGTGCCAAACACATCGCAGCACAGTAGTTCTCATTTTTCACCATCAGGCTGCATTTCTCTTTGCTCTCACAAACAGGTATTGAGAACACCATGTTTAAGATGCCTGACTAATGGCATGATGATATGCACATTTAATTCAGTGTACATATATGCAGTAGCTGAAAGAGATGGTCTCATCCTTGTCCCACTCAACCATGTCACCAGTGGTCCTTAGTACCTTTTTTTCTGTTAGGTTTATGAGTAGTTATGCAGTGAACAGGTTCAGGGAGCAGATTTTTACATTTTTCCAGAAGCATCATTGTGTAGTTTTCAACTGAATCAGTTCCATCTACACAAGATTGTTAGACATCATGAATGTAACGAGAACATAACATTTCAGTATTGCAATTCCCACAAAGAGCCGAGTCTCTATTTACAAACGCAAATTATCTAGGCTTTAGCAGAAATACTTTTGCTTAATGTTTTTTTTCCATGGAAAAATTGAAACTTTCTCCTGTGAAGGGCAAAGAAGACCCTCTGAAGGGTTCTCCTGCTAACACAATAAACATCCGGGGGTTCTTTCCTCTCAAATGCTATTTTTCTAGAGGGGTTCCCTATGATGAATTAGAAGTCCCAGTAGATCATGGCAAACAATCCTGCATACCACATCTTAAGAAATGGGTCTTCTTGGAACAGATCGGTTTGGTCTGCCTTAACGCAAACAAGTTAACACCACATTATCAAATGCACTGAGGTCACCAACCTCCATCAGATGATCTGCTTGATCCTTTTCAGACAAAAAAGGAAAAAGAAAAAAGCTTGGATTCCTTACAGAAATCTGAGTGCTCCAAGCTGGAAGCAGTAGGCTCAGCCACTCACAGCCCACCCACCTACAGATCAAGATGGACTGGAACAACCTCCTCCATAAGCCAGAAAAGTGAAGGGGGTTGGGAGGTGGGAGGAAGAGTTTCATATTTCATCTACCACTTCTAATAGAAAACAGAACATGGTGGGGGTTGAAAGGAAAATGGCAAATCCCTGGAGATCCTAAGTGTTGGCCTTGTGAGTCAAAACTGTCAATCACACTGTGTCCCCTCCAACTAGTGCTTCAAAAGGGAAGAAAGGAGGCAATGGACTGGCACGTTTAGCCACTAGGTGTTACTGTTGTTCCACGGAACGTGATCAGAGCAAACCGTCAGAGACATCTGCAGCAGCACCTTAAGATTTAAACCATAGAAACTAAATCCTACTTCTGGATTAACGTATTGTGACTCAAAAATCAGAGCACTTTGCTGTGTTTTCTTGGGGGGTCACAGAGGTAGACTGCTGCTCCTTGTGTTTTCTTTACACATCACTGCATAAATGGAGCAAGTCAAATTCACCCCTTGGGAACTTTCCCTGACTTAGATGAAGGTACATAGGGAAAACTGGGCTGCTTAAGGTGTCATTGAGCTCATGTCCACTGGTCAGGAAAACACATTGGCTGGGAGTTGTCTGCCTCCCTGGCCACAGCCTGCACTGAAACTTAGAGGCATTTTCATTAATCCTAGATCTGCTGTCAGCCAGGTGAGCTCCTCAGGCAAGTCATTTAACCTTCAACTGCTTTTGTTTCTCTGACTGTGGAATGGAAATAAAGACCCTGATCTCCTCTGGGAAGGACTTTGAGACCACAGATAAATCAGAGCTGTAGTCTTTGACAATCTGTTGGCATGAACCAAGCAACAGGCTTTGCATGAGCTTTTCCTATTGATTCCCTTCAATTCTCGCACTCTATGCCTTGCCCAAAATGAACCAGTATAAATCAATGGAGGCTGTAATGCAGGTCTCTGCCTGTACCCACTAGAAGGTCATTTCTACACACACCCTCATAATCAATGCCATGCAACACACTACAAACAGGCACAGCATTCATCCTGCCATGTGGTTGTACTTCTAACCAATGCATTATTTTCACACACAACTCGATTTTAGCCCTCTAGGCTATGTTTTTCCAAAATTTGGAAACACTGTTGCAGTACATTAAACAAAGTACCACTACTGAGCCACAAAACCTTATGAAATATTTTTTGAGGAGTTTTCATAGGAAAAAAATTATATGCCACTTTAAATGAAGTATAATGCAAGTTTAAAATACTGTTCTCTCAGAGAATGAATTATTTGCAAGTGCTAAGCATTATCTCAGAGGTGACTAGCACTACATTTTACTGCTGCCTCCAGTAAAACCTGTGGGCCTCTCACTTGGAGAAGTCCTTGTATCTGCAGTACAGGCAACAAGCACCACAGGCAACCAGCGTATCTCATAGTTTGTGTTCTCATAGGCATTTCTAGAGTTAATAAATTTTATTGAAATATTATTGATAGCCTGCAATTGCTTTTGGCTTTTAGAGGAAGATACAAGATCTATCCTTGAAGAATCATCTGGAGATGATAATTTTTGCTTGCTACCAAAAGATTATCATTGAAAATAGTCATCTAATAAATGCAAGAGTACAGACCATTACCAGTATAGTCTGGAAGTTGTTTGCCTACTGCTAGAGTTTACTCTCTGCTGCAGTCTAACAAAGTTTTAAGTAAGCGAAACAAAATGGCCTTGCTGATTTGTACATATGTAATCTCAGCAAACAACACATCAATAACTAACACAACTTTACCCATACTCCTAAAGCAGATGTTTATAATATCAAGTGAACTTGACTTACATGGCTTTGAAAATGTCACCATAAGTGGCTGGGTAGCTTAATTCCCACTTTCTAAAGTGACTTACAGCCCTAGATCACGTGGATAAATAAAAAAATTGCAGCCTTAGTCAGCCATGCTCTCCTTACTCTTCAGTGGCTAAAATAAACACACAGACTCTATCTGACACGTCTTCTGAAAATTAATCCTAATTGTTTTCTGAGCAGCTGCACAGCCAGTTTTACCCAGTTTCAGTTACCTCTTACTCCTTCTCCCCTCTCCTCCCCCCACTCTTTTGTGCTTCTGTCCACAATAGGACCCTTTATAACACATTTCTCTTCATGTGCTAATAATAAGTGCCAGCTAATAAGAGAGTTTTTCCTAAGTTCTCTCTGGGCCACCCTTTCTGTCTTTTCTTTTGAAGTTAGTAAGTCTGAAATGTGGAAAACAATACAGCTGCAGAAAGGATTACCTACAAGTTGTTCCAGGTCATTGTGAATTTGGTCCTGAAATCACACGGTGATCTTCAAAAGTAGGAAATACATATCCAGTCTGCTACACCAGAATCAAATCCAGTGCTGGGAGCAACTACCATTTTTTCATTGTCTTTGTCCCGGCAGCATAAAAACAAAAGGTTTTCTGAAGTTTGAAATACTGTGTGAATGGTGTGATGCCACTGCCACATTGAAGCATTCTGAACTATCCCTCTGTAAGGAGTAAAACCACTAGCAAGCCCACAGGATGAAGGAAAAGACTCTACCCCCTCAGTAAGAGCAGAGCAATTCTGGTTCACATTTATTAGTAATACTCGTAATAAACATTTACATTATGGTAGCGCCTAGAGGCCCTGTTTGAAAGCTTGTCTAAAACTGCTGTTGTACCTGGGCACTAAACAGCTCTGAAGCAGCACATCTGTCTGCCAGATGTTTTTTTCTTAGAAGCCGCAATGTTGAAAAGCATCTTGCTTCCCCTAACAAGCCTTAATGAGAAACTTCATCACCGATTCAAGGGAGGATCTGCAATTAAAATCACGAAGAAACTTCAGGCAAGGGTAGCGCTTGCCAAACTAGTGAGGGACAGGAGAGTGGTGATTTTTTAAGCGTGTTTAGTATCTGCTCGCCTGACTCTTGCCTTCCGGACGACAGAAAAGCCGAGGGGACACCTCTCCTCAAAAAGCGCGGGCAGAAGGCTCCACCGCCGGTCCCACCCGATGGACGCAGAAGCCGAGGCTCCCCTCAGGGCCCGGTGGTTCGAGTTCAAGGCCGCACGGGCGCTGCAGAGCGGCTCTGAGGACACCGGGGAGGCCGCGTCCCTTCCCCTCCCGCCGCCACC